TAAAGGTTTTTTAGGGCATTTGGACTTAGAAGGATATTTCTCCTTTAAAAAGTGTCCATATGTAAAATTGCTCATTTTTACAACTATATCTTTTCTCCCAAGATTGGCAGAAGGTTTGCTGAATTCTGCAGTTCTGAGCTTTGTGGCTCAGACTCCCTTCCCTAGTAACATCTGCCTACATGATAAGATCTAGTAAAGCAGGCTTTTCTACGTGTCTGGTTGAATAGAGATTGAATACCAGATGCTTTGACTGCCTTTAAGAAGCCTATGATGTTATCATTTTTGACGGGAGTCTGTTTCTGAAATCAGATGATAGAATTTCTGATGTAGTTTCAAAGGTCAATCCTTTTAAGGTTGAAATTATTATGAGACTTATGACACATGAAATAAAGAGTTAGAATTTATTAGGGATTGCCAACTTCAAGCCAACGTTCAGTCTTTGCATTTCTTTTTTGCAATATTATCAAAAATATCCACCCATCATGTGATTGGCCCCTTTCCTTCTGGCCATTAGGAAATTGCTTAAAAACTGGCAAGCTAGTGTAGTATGACTATTCCTCCAGATAATGGATTGTATTTTCTTAGGTTTGAATATGACTTCTGTTTATGCATTAATAATGTATAATCTTGTTTTTAATTTGTTTTGAATCTGTTTGTTTTGATCATAATTGCATACTGGAAAGCAATAAGATACTTAAATTAGAATGATTTGTAAACAACGTAAAGCCATTTTGGTGCAATAGTTAAGGCACCAAGTAGAAAGCACAGGATTATGTGTTCTAACCCTGCCTTACCTACAAAGTCAGCTGGATGACCATTAGACAGTCTCTCTCTCTCTCTCTCTCTCTCTCTCTCTCTCTCTCTCTCTCTCTCTCTCTCTCTCTCTCTCTCTCTCTGTGTGTGTGTGTGTGTGTGTGTGTGTGTGTGTGTCTCCCTCCCTCTCTCTCTCCCTCTCTCTCTCTTGTAGACAATGGTGACAAGATGTTTAGCCTGACTGTGGTAGTCTACATTTTATTGGAGAACTCTTGGAAGGAGGAATGTTGTCAGGGTTGTTTTAGATTATCTTCACCCTCCTGGTTTGTAACACCCTTATACTTAACTTGTTGGGGACCTATAAACATCTGGTTGGCCTCTGTAGAGAGATTAGATATAGATACTGGATTAAATGGTTGTGGATTCTTATTACATTCTGAAACTAAGATGGCTTTTCTCTTTCATGTGTCTAAACCCACCTTAAATTGGAAAAGATTTTCAGTAAAAGTCTGGAAAAACAATTAGGTAACAGGACAATTCCTACAGTATGTGATAAAATATAGAAAAAAATTGTTTTACGTTTTAATATTAGAACAAATTTGTAATGTCTTATTATGTGCCTGAAATATTTTTCTCCATTACTTCTGTATCCATTTAGCACAATTAATACTTGTATAGGAAGCCTTACGAGTTATGGAATACAGGCTAGACAAGGAAGTAAAAAAAAAAAACTTAATAAAATCCCAAAGAAGGTAATAGAAATTGCTGCCAAGAATTTATATGTTCATACCTTCATAGTCAGCAATTTGACTTCAGGAATTCTCTATATTTATTTATTCAAAATAAGGAACTATTTTTTTTTTATTAAAAAATCCACTCATTTAAATTGTGCATAAAACCCCAGAGAATAATGCACTGAAAATCTTATATAGGTTTTCTTTCAGTTTAAACACTGAAAGAAAAGTATACTGTTAAGATAAAGATGAATACTCAGATTCAAAGATACCCTCAGCCATGGAAATTAATATGAGAACCTTGGGGCAGTCGTGTCTTTGCACCCAGCCTAACTTATTGATCTGCTGTAAAGAAAAATCGGAGGAAAGAATGTTATATATGCTCCTCTGAGCATTTATACACCTAGCAAAAAAATAAAAGAAGTAATCTATTTTATACAAACTGTTGCCTTTCAACTATGTTGGGACTACAGTACTCAGAACTCCCTGAACAGATGCTTCTAACTGGGAATTCTGGGAATTATTGTCCCAATGTAGACAACAAGCAACTGGTCAGAGATCTACTGCAGACTGGTTGTCTGAATCACAACTCTGCTACACAGAGTTGTGGATTTACACAGAGCCCAAAGACAGCCTTTCATCTTCCTGCTGGGATTAAAAATTGAGGACTGGCCTCCTTTTGAAGTTCTTTAAAAAGCTTCACTTTATTGTTCCTATCATGTAGTAAGGACAAGCTTAGCTTTACCTTCATTCAGTGGAATTATAGCTTTGGTGCTGATAGTAAATGTTTATTATTATGAAATTGTTCTGAAGTCTTTTTTTCAGAATCTAATCTGATAGAGTCTATAATGCTACATAAATTAAATAAATAAATAAAAGTTGTTCATTTCCATGAACTGGCGTCAATGCACCATATCTAGAGTTCCACTGTATATGGGAAAGCCACATGCAGAAACAGTGTGCTTTCAGCCTCCATTCATTGAAGTTCGCCCATATTATTAATCATAACTTGCTTATGGGCTTAAATGTGGGATACTTACAGAAGGAAAAGGTGGGAGGAGAAGCTAAAGTTTACCAGATGATTGTAAATGCAGTCATAAACCTTTATTTCTTGTGTCAGGTATCTTGATTTCTGAATGAACCACAACGCAGACAAGTCTAAGCAGCCAACTATGGTCTCTTGCCTAGATGTACTTTATATCAAAACTGCTGCCATTAATGATATCTTTTTAGTTGTACACTTGATGGGAAGGATGGGGGCTGAAGTGAAAGCAAAGTAAGAATGGCATTCAGGTGAATAACACAATCTACATCTCAGCTGGTCCAGACAGCAATTCACCTGTATCTATAAAATGCCACATGTTTAAAGTTCGTCTTTTCTGCAGCAGTGAGCACCCAAGCCATGGATTACACCCAGGCCATGGCAGATTGATGCAACTATTATGTTGACAAAAGCCTAAAAACCCTATTAACACCAGGCTATTTAGTATTATGCTTTTATTGATCATCTACTGTTGCCACTTTCAGCATATTGGACTTGTAGGAGATAAGAGAATATTATAAAAGAGATTTGCTAGATGATACCAACTTCCTAATATGTTTATTTTAAATTGTTGGTTTTCATAGATACTTGCTTCCCTAAGCTTTTTTTATTTTAAAAGGTTATGTTGAAATAAACAACATGATTCTTATCTCAAATACTATTGCAGGGGTTTTTTGAGAACACACAGTAACAGTAACTAAATTGCATTGAACTGATAAGCAGCTTCATAGATGATGAAGGAAACAAAGCATGCCTTCATTAGTTATGATTCTTCCAAATATTTCTATCAGCTAATTAGCTATGCAAGGGAGGTGCAAATTTGGATTTTTAAAAAAATCTTTGGACTTTGTTCATCAAATGAAAATAGATTGATTTTAAAAATATAGAGGAAATTTTTGGCGCAGCACTAATTCCTTTCACTTATGAAATTTAAGGAAAGGTGGGATCTTTTTTATTTTCACCCAAAACAAGAGGTACAGTTAATCCCCCTGATGAATTGACACAACTGACCTGCAGAGTTTTACTACCGAAGTTAAAAGCTAAGTCTAAAATGCTGTTGTTTGCAAAAGGAATGTTTAGATAGTATTAGACAGTATTATAACTTTAAAGGACATAAAAGAAAGGGCATCAAAGAAGTCCTCAGCATTATCTCCCTGCATTCTCAAATCTTGAGCGGTTCAATCTCATTTCTTCAGGACAAAGGACAGGACCTGTTAGTCATACTTTGAAAAAAACAGCTTAGATGGCCACTTTTATTTTAAAGAAAACATAGATGATGGAGGATTATGACTCAGAAGAAGTTTCTGGTCTGAACTGAGGAACTGAAATCCATGTAGTTGGGTGTTAATGGACAAAAGAATCATGAAAGAAAAGACTTATGGGAGAGAAAAAGGAAGGGGAGGGGGAGAATCAGGATCTTGGACCAGAACAAGCACCCATCCCAGATTCTTTTTGTTTTTAAAATAAAAGGAAACAAATCTTAAGACTCTTATAGGTTCTGGTAGAATAACCAATGAAAATCTTTTATATACATTTTTTTCCATTTAGATAATTATTTATCTGAGCATAATTTCATGTATTTCAAGATTTAACTAGATTGCTAACCAAAATATCACAATGAATATGCTAAAATATGAAACCTGTTTCCATTTCCTTCCTCTCTCATCCACTTTTATTTTTTCAAATTCATTTTAATAATTATTTATTAACATTCAGAAATGTTTTAGATCTCAAACTAATGTATCACATCTCTACCATTCATTAAGGCATACCATTATGTTTAGGCTTCTGTGTAAACTACTTTTAAGGAAGCCTTAAAGTATATGCTTGTTTTTTATTGTGCTTTGGCTTCAAATAGGTATTGACTCTTAGAAACTGCCTGGACAGGTCCCTACAGTGTTTGTAACAAGGTTTTTCAGAATTGGTCTGCCATTCCTTTCTTTCTAGGGCTGAGAGAGAATGGGTGGCCCAAGGTCACTCAGCTGGCTAAATTGGGACTAGAAGTTTCAGTCTTGAGGTTTCTAACCTTATGCCTTAACCATTATATCAACTGCTCTTTGAATCTTAAAAAAACTTCCTCCCTTCTTCCTCAGGTTTGTGCAGAAATTTGAGTGAAAAAAACCCTGAGAGGCTGCTTTAATGAATTACATGGAGAGGTTGTTATTGCACAAGGTCTAAAGCACTTCCGAATAATTTTGGAAATGTGCGCAGTCCTATTGAGTAGGGAGTATGTTGGTAAGCCGGGGGGGGGGGAGAGGAATGATGCCAGTGATGCCCATCAATTGTTTAGGACAAACTTTGATGCAGCAATCATCATTAATTGAATGGGGTTTGATATATGCAAATAGCTTCCTTTTCAATGTCACAATCCAGGAACAATTTTATTCACTGGACTGTATAGAAAAAGCAGTCCTATAGACACTTTAACAGATTAATTGTGCCATACATTGTTGTTGTTTTTATTTTGTCAGATGTATTTGTACTTTGGGACAGAATTTTCACTGGAGTAAGATGTAAGTATACAAACTTATCAATCATTCATAAATAGAGGAAACAAATAAGTCTCACACATGTAAATAACTGTAAGGGCCCCCACAGGAACCATATCATTGGTTTTTATCGCACTGTTTTTAATCAGCTAGATAAGCTTGTTAACTGGCTTACTGATAAGCAAGGGAATTAAAATAAGGTTGATGTTATTAGCTTCAGCTAGACTGCAAGCTAGAAGTCAAAGCAAGCACAAGAAGTTGCAAATTGAACTAAAAGCTGTCTCTACTCCTAAACAGTTCCTTAATTAATCAACAAAAGAGAGAACAAATTATAATTATCTCTTTGTTCAAGTATAAATTTTGTCCTACACATGTAGGGAATTGCATAAATACAATAGGAAATTATACTGTTTCTGACAATTATGTATGCAATGCTGTGACTTTTGGATGGGCTGGGACTATAATACCCAAAATTCTCAGCCAGAAAAAAATATTTGATATAATTGATTTCTCAGGGTGCATTATAATCCTGTTTAGCTCTATAACTTGTGCAAAGCAATGGCAGCAATATATCTGTAAGAGTTATAACACTGTCTAACTTCAGAAGAGATGTGCTAAATTCCATCCCAAAGATGGAACTGCTCCAACAAGAGTCTTGATCCAGGTACAGACAACAGGTACATATAACTGGAAACATCATAGTGCTGCAAAATGAGCAAGCACAGTGTGGGGATTATCAAAGGAAAATGAGAATATAAGACACTAGAAGGTAAGACTAGCAAATTACATTGATGTGTTAGGATTCCTCATGGGAAAATAGAGGTAACCAAAGTAATCACAGTTGCAGTCACTTTAGCATAGCACTAACTTAACCTGATTTGTCTGGGTGATGATTTATTTATGTTACTTATAAATAAACAACAAATATTACCTAGGAAGAGAGAAAATGAGACTTTTTTTTTTTACCGAATAAACCTCAATATCTAGGCTCCCTGGCTGGTTCTTCAAAAACCACCCCAACCCATACTATAACTTAGTTTTGGGGTTCCTGTTTTGAGGTCACATTGTAGATTTGAAATTTAGAAAGCATTTTATGGATGTCTTTATAAAATGGCTGTCCTAATGGCCAATCACAAAACATCCATTTATCAAAAAGTAAAAAAATGCACTATGTCACTTCTGAGGTCTTTGTAGCTCCTCAGAGCCTAATTACCCAGGAAGGTTTACTGAATATCACAAGTTTACAACCACATATACTTACTGAGCAATACCATTGAGCTTATGGAACTTACTTAAGAATCAATAATCGTTATGCTTTTCCAAAACTTTTTCCTTTTTTTATTAACCCTCTTTGAGTCAATACCTAATACATGCAAAATAACTTAGCATCCATAAGCAATTTCATGCACACTGCCTTTATTTTTAATGCCTTCAAGTCAATTTTGACTCCTGCAGCTTTCTTTGCAAGCTTTTTTTGGGAGCAGTTTGCCATTGCCTATTTCCTAGGACTGAGAGAGAATGACTGACCTGAGGACACCCAGATGGCTTTGTCCTTAGGTCAGGATTAAAGCTCACAGTTTCCTGGTTTCTAATCTGGTGCCTTAACCATTACACTAAACTGGCTGTCTATCTGTATCAACAGCACTGGGAACAAAAGTTGACTCTTCTCTAGGAACATGGCATCTTGTTGAACTTTTAGCAATATTACTTCTATTGTCAGTTATCGATCACAGAAAAGGCATTCTTTGTTAAGCGCGCATGCTCATTTACATTCTTTTATGGCTTTGATTGTGTTCTGACCATTTGGTGATCCATGTTAAGTACTGGGAGACAAAGCACGGCTTGCTTTTGATAATCAATTTACAGTTTGCTTTTCCCTCTCCTTCAAATACTGCTTTTCCTTGATTTTTAGCTAAGGGCATAGATGGCAAAAATGTTGCAATGCAGATCCTTAAGCACCACAAGTTCTGAGTCAGTTTGATCAACTAAAGAACAAGAAAAGAGAATCATGATGCTTTCAATTAATCAAATATGAAATGAACTTTAAAAGGCTTATTACAGTGAAAAAACATTAGGGTGTATTTATTCAGAAAGAAAGGAAATAATATCTAAAATCTAAAATAGCAAACACAATATTTATTTATTTATATTCCACATTTATTATTTTTATAAATAACTCAAGATGGCAAACATACTCATATGCCTTCCTCCACCTATTTTCACCAAAAGAGCAACCCTGTGAGTGGGTTGAGATGAGACAGAGTGACTGTCCCAAAATCACCCAACTGGCTTTCCTGCCTAAGGTAGGACTAGAACTCACAGTTTTCTCCTGTGTATAACATATATTTGGGATGTGGAAACTCTGGCCTCCACATACAATCATGACTGTGGATTACAATAGCCGTTTTTGCATAAGCACATCAAAAGAGCATGAAAGTCCACCTCTTGATATACAGTAATTCAAAATGAACATGAGAAGATAAATGAAAGGAAAATTAAATCAAAGCTTAATAACTGATATTTTTGAGCTTTTTTGTTGCAGAAGACTGTTCTTTGTATCATGGAGAGTCAAAAGCAAAACAAAAAAAACCAGATCATGGAATAAATCAACTCAGAGATTTCACTAAAAGTACAATGACAAAAGTTAAGTAATCCTTCTTTGGACACATTATGTGAAGACGTGGCACTCTGGAGAAGGCTCTGATCCTGGGAAAGGTAGAATGAAAGAGAACAGGATGGCCAGCAGCAAGGTGAATAGACTTAGTTATAGTGATGATGGGTGCACCTATAAAAGACCTTAAAGATCATAGAGTAAATCCATCTATGTGTTCACTAAGAGATGACACTGTTTTAATCACACCTAATCAATAAGTCACTCCTCTCAGCCGCACTCAGTATCACTAATCTTAGTAGCTTTCTTGACAACTGTGAGGATTGGGAATTGCAGATGCAGTTTTATATTGGCTCTCTTCTTCCTTTAGTGGGCAGTTTCAGTCAATAGTTAGAGCAGGTTGTCTGCTCATATGTGGATGCCACAAAATTAAGTCCCATTTCCTGTATACAAGGTCCTTAGGCAGGGTCATCTATCAGTCTGGGTTCTGTATAATCAGTATGCTGTTGATAGTCAGCTTATATTGTTACTTTGGAAGAAAGGAAGTATGCTATGGAATTTATGTCCTGACATCTGAAAGCTGTTAGAATATAGATGGGGGAAAAGCAGCCTGAAGCTGAACCAAAAAATTAAAAAATGAAACTGCTGTTTAACCATCAGGATTCTTAGTTGATTCCAGGGTTGTCTGTCAAGAGGGAAGATCTAAATTAGTCTGCTTTTGGAGGTTATCTAGAAGATAAATCAATTCAAAATATGGCACACTGATTGCTGGCAGGAGTACATTACATCTGTTGCTGAGGCCATGCATTAGTTGCTGAAAAGCTTCCAAGTTTAATTTAAAGTGTTGTTTTTGATTGTTATAGTGTACACTAAAACATCTGCAGAGTCAACCAGAGGGGATCAGTCCTATGAGTGTCTTCCTCACAGCAGAAACACCACTTAATCCAAAATTATCTCACATGAAATTAAAGGGGCTGAAGCTAGATGACAATGTTTTTCTGTTAGAGCACCAACATTATGAAATAGCTTCTCTTTGCATATTATAATAGTACCCACTGAGATGGCCTTCCTAAGAACACTACAGTAAGCACAAAGACATCTGGAGAGTTTTAACTTAATGTCTCTATGCCATATGCTAGAAGAATAGAATAGAATAGAATAGAATAGAATAGAATAGAATAGAATAGAATAGAATAGAATAGAATAGAATTCTTTATTGGCCAAATGTGATCGGACACACAAGGAATTTGTCTCCAGTGCATAAGCTCATAATGTACATATAAACAGTAAGCAATAGGTCATTGGTCATAATCATAGTTACAATCATTAATCATAAGTTACAAACAACAGTGGATTAATCATAAGAAACCAACAGGAGAAGATAGTAGGAAAGGTGAGAAGATGAAAAAAGATGAGAATTGAGACAGTGCTGTACAAATTAATTGTTCAGCAGAGTGATGGCACGGGAGGGGGAACTATCTTTATGTCCAATTTATCTAAAGATAAATTAATTATCTTTAATTTGGGATTTGTAGCGATAGTGCTATGGGATTGCTATATTTAAGGTTACTAAAAAATTAACCATGGTAGTAGAGTGCTATGGAATTTTTCTATTTAGCCAGTTTGGTCTATTGTTGAAAGCACCAGGGGAGAAACCAAGAGCCCAAGTTCTAGGCCCACCTTAAGACAGGAAAGCTAGCTGGTGTCTTTGTGCCAGTCACTCTCTCTCATCCCAACTCACCTGGCAGAGTTGTTGTCATCGTGGGGAAAATAGGAGGAGAAAGGAATATTAGTATGGTGGCTACTTTGAGATTTATATAAATAATAAAGACAGGCTGAAAATAAATGCCTTATTTATTATGGATTGTTTTATTATTTATTGTTGACATTTTAATGCTTTCTATTTTACTATGGCTGTTTTACTGATTTGTATTGATATTGTTATGCCTTTTATTGACATTTTTACATTTTAAGGTGTGCTAAGGATGTCAGCATAAAATCTGATGAAAAATGAAATGCATATTAATTGACTAATCAAATATCTTGGTGACCTAACATATGTGAGCATGATAAACCGGGCTCTGAAACTGTACCAGAATGCTGTTGCAACATGTGATCAAAGGGGAGAGTAGAACCTTTGGTAAAACATTACAGATAGTGTGAACACAAAGCAGAGGGTGAAGTCCTGTTGAGCAAATAGGTTCTACCAGAGAAGTAGACTTAAAAACAAAAAACTGTAGCAGTCAGAAAGTTGGATTGTGCATTAAAGTTCCAGCAGGACTAAATGACGGCATGGGTTATATGTTTATCATTAAGACATTTTTGTCTGTGTTTATAATATTCCATTTTAAAAAAATGTTTGGGTGGATTCATACTTCTTTAGCTCTTTTCCATTTTCTAATGAACTTAATTGCATTTTCAGAATTCTTATCCTCTGCTTAGGAAGCTTAAATAATTAGGTCAAATAAAAAAGTAAAAAAAAAAAACAGCAACAAAAATGTCACTTCATTCAGAGAAAGAACACCTTCTGTTTACATTTACTTTTGAGTGATCTTTTATATTTTATATAATTGTATATGAGTCACACAGAGAGAAAAGGTATAGTAATGACAATACTGACATAATGCAAATTGTATTGTTGTTACCATGGTAAAAACTTCATATTTTAAGAGTTTATAATAAGGTACTTAATATGATTATAATTCTATTTGATAAAAAAAAAATCTGAAAGGAATAGGTTAAATAGAAAAATCTCATACAACAGCTATTCAATTTTTTTGTAAACCTGATAGCCCAAAAGCTTAACTAAGCATCCACAGACCTTCACAAGTAATTATAAAACTAATTGTTCATGGTGCCAAAAAGGCAAATTACTAAACATATCACCAAAGAGAAATAATATGAAATATATATTATTTGAATTAAATATTTCAAAAAATGAAATCAAACTTAGATTTGGGCCTGACTCCCTCTCATGTTTTAACATGTACAGCTTTTGAGTGGCCCAGAAACACACATTCCTGCAGTAAAAAGGAACAGCGCAGCTAGTTACATTTTGAATGTGCTAATACAATCTAAACAGTCTGGATATATTTGAAATTCCCTTCCCTTTTATTTTCTCATAGGCTGGCCCTTGAAGATAGTATAAAAAAAGGAAAAAATAACTAAAATGGACAAAAGTGATGCTGCCAGAAGGCATGGGGAAGGCAAACTTTTAAACATCTGGATTTTCCAGTATATTTTTGAACTGGCCAGCCAGGCTGGAGAATGCATGCCCAGATCCATCAAAGTATTTTTTTTAAAGATGGTGTTTACTCTCTATGGACTGTAGCTACAGCCATTGGTTGACATTTTCAGTTATGTAGCTTACTTCTCTTTGCTGCCTGCCTGCCCTCATGAATTCAGATGGTACAAATCAGGAGGCCAGGAACTCAAGAGCTCTAGAACTGGGCCTGCACCAAGTTTGAAGAGAAGGCAGAACCTTCCCTGCCTGAATTTTTCTAGGGCTCAGGGCAGATGGAATTAAAAAACAAAAACAAAACTAAAGGTATGAATAGTTGCAAACAGGCAAAGGTCAAAAGTCAATAGGAGGGATAGGAGGAAGAAGGAAAGACTGTGCTAAAATAACAAGGCAAATCATGAAAACCTGCATCCTCTGGAAGTTAACTCTTTTAAAACTCCTTATGTCACATAAATGCAATGTGAGAGTAAACCTAATGTATAATGAGAACACTTCTGAAAGTAGAGAATATCTGTTTATCAAGGTGTTAACTGTCACATAGCAGGGAAGCAGGAAATGGGTGACTCAGCATTAATCAGCTTTAGTCATACGGTAGTTTATTTCCTCAGTCAAAGGAGAAACTGACTCTTACTATAAACATATCTAGTTACAAGTAGTTATCATAAATGATAGTGAGAATCATTTACCAGCAATGCATATAGAAAGAGTATGTTTCTAATTAGCACTTCTAATAAATACACAGAATGCAAATATATCTACATTTAATCCAAGTCTCTTTATGATTAATTTCATTATCTAATGAAAGGTGTATGCTACACTTTCTCATCTAATGTTTGCTGCTACTTATAGTTCAATCTTTATCTTCTCTAATATAAGTCCAAGGTATACTGATAATTTTACCAAAATAAGTTGAAGTTTGACAGAATCATAAGCATGAGTTTTATAGAACTCTTTAGCTTGGTTGTCATGTAGAAGAACAAATGAGAAGAAAGAATGCAAAGAAAACATTCCCTTTCTAGAGATTGTTCCAAGGAACCGCTGAAAACTGCAAATCTTTGATCACAGATGTCATCACTTATTTATTTATTTATTTATGAAACTTATATACCGCTTTAAGTGCAAGCACTCTCTAAGCGGTGTACACCAGTAAGCAATGTATATATATATATATATATTTACATTGCCCCCAACAATCTGGGTCCTCATTTTACCTACCCCGGAAGGATGGAAGGCTGAGTCAACTGGTGCCAGTGTTTGTTCTGGTTACCTTCTCTTTGGCAGCCAGATATCAGTAGACAATATATATCCCATAACTATATCCATAACCCAGAAGTGGCATCTTTAGCAAATGATACCAAAATGACTAGATGTGCATGCTAATATCATAATGCAAATGTCACTATTGCATAGTTGCACCCTGATGCAATTAGGTAAGTTGTTGCATTTGTGTGATGTCACATTTGTTTTGTCATTTGTTCTCCATCTCCAAGGAACTTTTAAATGTCTCCTGTTTGCATAGTTATTAAAAGATTATGAACATTATTATCCAACTAGACAGCATCACATAGCTGACCTTAGCTGAACTTAGAATCCTAAGCAGGACTGGCCTTGGTTAATACTTGGATGGGAATAATTTGAAAAGCACAAAGTTGTAGACTAAAATAGAAATTTGAAAAAAAAATATCCTGGAGAAAAAAAGGAATGCCATACTACATTGGTATCATGTCAAGAAAACTGCATGTGATGTAAGCATGTAGGACACCAGGACTTTACATGAATTAAAATCTAATGTTGGCAGTATATGATGCATTACAGCCACAGAAATAATTAAATTATGTATATGGAATTATAATCCTATGTGCAGTTTCTTAGAAGTAATCATATTGAATTCAATCAATTTTTTTAATGTAAACATGGATCATTGAGCTTTACAGTTGTTATCCCAGGCATAGCCAGAACAGAACACAATTAACAGATAAATAAACCAATTGCACTTAAAATATAAATACAGACCATTTCACTTGAAGAATAGTAGCAGTTATTGATAGTAGCAGTTTCATTATGAATGCATTGGCAAGTAAAGAGAATTATTTCAAAACACTAGAATATTGGATTATCTAAAGAAATAACTAGTAGGTTCTATAGAAATGGAAAAACATATACTGTGTACTACAATACCTTCTATTTTACAACATAAACTCTACTTGTCAATAAATAGCTCATCTTATGTTAGTTCATCTATACTCATGTTGCCCCACAAGGTAATCTTGCCCATTGATGGCTCAGTGACAAACTGATAATCACCAAAGATGCTAAATATCTGAATTGGTAATATTTGAACAGAAATGCCTCATGGAGATGAAAAAAAGATTCGACCTCTGTTTTTTGGTGGGTAGGGGGAAGCAGAGCATTGATGAGATCTTTACATGATGAGATAAGTTACATTTTTGTGTTTACTCTGAAGAGATAATTTTGTATTTCAGTGATCAAAGTCCTAGCAGTTCTTCTTAAATTTCTGTTCCCACTTTCCTCAAAGACTTCAAGGGGGTACACATAGCATCTCTTGACTAAGTCTCCTCACAATAAAAATGCTGTGAGGTAGGTTGGGCTGAGAAGGTGCAAGCAGCCCAAAGTTACCTACTGCTATAGCTGAGGTGGCCTTGAACCTGGCTTTTCTTGATCATAATCCTACATTTTATGAACAAAATTTAAAAACAATTGTGTTTATGTTTAATACAATACTATAATATGAGATTATTCATTAGTGGTGTATTGAATTATTTTCTTTTGTCGTATTAAAAAAATCCCACTTGCTAATAGTTTTTATCTCAGCAGAGTCCTTGGATGGAAGATCAGAAAATTCCAAGGCCTCAAGGACTGAGAAAATGGAGTGGGGGTGGGGAAACTAGAAGAAAACAGTTGCAAATTGTTTCCACACTGTTTCCAAAAAATCTACAAGGATGTCTATACAAAGTCACCAGGAAGAAACTAAGCTTGACTTGAAGATGACTTTTCAATGGTTTTTCAAGCATTGGGAACCACATTCAAGATTTCCAGGAACTTCCCTCTCATTGTATAAAAGAGCACATTAACTAAAGTTATCAGCTGGTGCTCTGTGGTGCATTTTCAGCTTTTAAGGCAGAGGAGTGTTGTAATGAGCAGCCTTGTCTTTCTAAGAAACCCTATACAATGTTGCCAGAATAGTGGTTTTCAAACATAATGCATTATTCTTCCTTCATTAGCAGTTAGACACTGATCACCTTGTTGATGTGAATGGTACAAGAAGAGAATCCCTCACAGGGAAGGAGATGAAGCTTGTGGTAATTGTTTTTTTAGCCAACACTGTTTATTCAGTGGAAGTTTTACATTTGCATATTTTGTGAATCTAAAGAATTAAAACTTTTGTAACAGACTATTGTAAAGAAAGAGTAAAGGCTGGTAATTGCAACATTTTTTTCTCTGATTAACAATGCCTGATTAACAAAGCAAGCAACAATAAAATGACTTGACTATGACTATGGCAAATAGCCAGGGTTCCTTATAATTCAAATCACAGCCAGTCTGGTTGTCATTAACAAAGACAAAATTGAAATAATATCATGTGGCAGTTATCCCACATTGGACTGAAATGATTCACCAGTTAGAATGCAGTTGAGTGGAAAAGAGCTTTTCTTAAATTGATTTAAGGTTACAGAATCTGTAGATCATTAACCTCTGTACTAAATTAATACATTTTGAGGAACTGGAAGTTATTTAGGGGGGTAGAAAACTAACTCTGATTTTCTTAGGTAAGGGTTCCAGGTAAAATGCAAAATATTTTTGCCCAGCATTTTGGATAGGAGGTTTATTAAGTGTCATTAAGTTTAGATTATTATGATAAGTACAAAGAAAAAACATAGAAGAAAGAGTGCATATTTGGATAGAGTAGAGTTACTGTATGGTCATATTATTTTATTTTATGATAGAAAAAAGAATACAATTTTTGGCAATATCAGTTTAATTCAAATCTCAAAATACAGTACAGCTACAATTTGTAATCCAACATTTCTTTCAAGTTATACATTTGTGTTGGGCTAATTGCAGTAATTCTTGGCTTGCTAAAGAAGCTACCACTGGCTAAATTGATATGTGAGATATGAAGTACATTTTTCAAAGTACAATGGCTCATGTTACACAAGCCAAGACAAAATCAAATGAACCACAGCTTATCATAACATGGCAATCTCAGCAAGGTTCATGGCTGAGTCACAACTGTGAATCAGTTAAATTGTTTGTTTCTCAGAACTGCCCTTTAAGCTATAACTTTCTCTTTAACCTGAAGGAATAGCCCTTAGTTTGGGTGACTGCTCACTTCCCTATCTTTTCAGATAATCTGCAGCACAGTAATATAAAAGGCAATTGCTTTTTAACCATTAAGTTAAATTAAGTACTTACAGGCATTACAATTACTGTAACTATCAGAACAATAATTACAAGAACTAAACCTTTGCTACTTCATAGATTGATTGCTGTAACAAAAATGGCATTGCTGCTTTTCAATATTGATTACTGTAGCAAAACGGCATTGCAACACAGAAATGATAGCTCTTGCACCATTGTGTCTCTGGTTGAAGCATCAAGGTAGACTATTTCATTATGCCTCACTGCTTCCACAAAAATGTTTCCTGCCCTAAACTTACCATTCAATTTTAGTGCATCTAGGCCTTGTTGTATAAAGATGGCTTATAAAGTTTGACCAAAGGAATTTTACAATCCTAATTAACGCCAGCCTGATCTGTAATGCCTGGAGATGTACATCATAGCAGATGCAATGCATTTAGTAATCCATCTGAAATGCCAGTATCACTCACCTGAACCTTGGAAGCATTGCTCTTTTTTAATCCTCTCCCTACTTTCAGTAATGAAAATGACCAAGATATTTTATTATTTTTATATTCCTGACTTTGTTCATGGAATTCCTGGCTATTTTCCAGCCTCATGGTTGGGATTGTTTTTTCTTTTTTTCTGTTCTCCTCACCCTACTTAATGTGGCTATTTTAAAATGAAAGTTTCAGAAAGAAATTCCATCTGGGGATTTTCAAATTAGTGAAAAAGGTCTCTGTTTTATATATCCACCAATGTATTAGGTATTTCCAGATTAACTGGAAATCATAATTTGAAAACATGCAGTGTATTGTCAGGTTTGCTTCACAAGCATGAAAAAGGTTAACTTATGGTATAATTTGTAAGCCCCTCTTTAAAAGAAACACAGCATTTACTCAACTACACCATAAAATAAATTGTGCTACAAGAACAGAAATGTTATTCTGCCAGAATTTTCAAGTAGTGTGTTCTGTCTAATGATATATTTTTACATTTCTCCCCATTATATTGACTCCTAAGTCTTAACAGACCATGGGATCATCCTGTTGTATGTATGATGCTCACCCTGTTTTGTTTATCCAGAGATTGTAAATATATACATCAATCTTCCTCATTTAGTGTCTTTCACATGTCAAATTATGTCATACTTAGCTGGGATTGATTGAAAACCAACATATTTGTTGAATAGAAAAGCCTCCAAATGCAGCATATCCTAAAAACCAGACACTGTGAAGAAACCGTCGGACAGCGTTACTACTTTCATGTCCTCCAAAAGAGTTTCTTAGATGCATCTGAGCATGTATGACACAGAGCACTGAAATAGACTGGCCTAAAACAGTAGGTTTTTTATGACGGGAGTAGACTGAGTAGAGATTTATTCAGTTTTTTAACAATCAAGTGAAGTCGTTAAGGCACCACACTAGATACTGGGAGACCAAGTTGTAGTGCTGTCTTAGGCACACAGCCAGCTGGATGACTTTGGGCCAGTCACTTTCTCTCAGCCCTAGGAGGCAGTCAAGGGCAAACTACTTCTGTAACCTTGCAAAAAAAAAACAAAACTGCACGGACTAACCCAGGCAACAGTGAACTAAAGACACACACACACACACACACACACACACACACACAAAATCCACCAGCTTTCACTTTCTCACCATCATGTCATCTCTACGGCTGTTTGAACAACTGAAAGATGGTTTACTACGTTAACTCGCTGCCTGCGTTATCGCCACGCCGAAAGTCAGACTTTAGCTTAGCGTTTTGTGAGTAGACAATAAGTTTCACGCTTGGATCTTCCAAGGGTTCTTTCAAGCTTGTCTTCCGAAACTTGTTTTTCAATTTTTGGAAGAACCAGCTGCGCTGTTCCTCTTCTTTTCTAAATTGTCCGCCAAAACTTCTCACTTTTACGAGAACGGGGGGGGGGGAGGGAGGAGAAACAGGAGAAACAGCAGAGGCAGCCAGAAAGAGAAAGAAAGAAACAGCTGCTCTCTCGACAGTCCTTTTCCCCTACAGGCAATCTACAAGGAAGGTCTCTCTCTCGCCCAATAAGCCGTGGCCGGTTGACGAGCACTGAACGGCAGCCAATGCCAACCTGAAGGGCGGGAGGCTAGGGGGCGTGAGCGTCTGTTCTTCCCTCCTCTTCTCCGCCTCCCTTTCAGGTGGGGAAAGGGGTGCGTCCTCGCGCCTAATGGGGTCGGCAGAGGAAGGGGGGAAAAGCGGGTGATTAGCAAGACCCGCAGCCCGGCTGGGCGCAAGGGAAGAAGCAATGGCTCGCGGCGGCGCAAGCAGACAACGCGGGGCTGGAGCGGCGCGCGCCTGGCTGAGGCGCTCTGCTCGCTGCGGGGACGCAATCGGAACTAGCGCGCGCCGCCTCCGCGCCACCCTGAGCAGCAACAGCAGCAGCCGCCGCCGCCGCCGTCACCGCTTTCCTTCCTCCCCCTGCTCCTCCTCCTCCTCCTCCTCCTCCTCGAGCTATTGAGGCGCAGGTCTTGCCGGGCGAAAGCGTCTCCAAGCTCCCGTCGCGACTCGTTTCATTCTGCCTGGGCGCAGGGAAAAGCGAGAGAGTATCTTGCCCCGATAGCCGCCTCCTTTCCTTGCTCGGCGCCTCTGCTCCTACCGTAGCTGCCGCTTCCCGAGTGCTTTTCTCCGCCTCATCTCCAGCGAAGAAAGGAAGCCTCCTTTCCGTCGGGGGACGGCTTCTTCTTCGCTCCCTTCCTCCCTCCTTCCTCTCGCCTGTCTTTTTTTTTTTTTTTTTTCGCCCCTTCCTTTCTGAGGGTGGGAGGGGAGAAGAATAGGAGCCCGGCGAAGGAAGCCAGCCGCGCTCAGCCCGCCCGCCCTGGGTGTGCGTGAAAGAGCCATGCGAGAATACAAAGTGGTCGTGCTTGGCTCTGGCGGGGTGGGCAAATCCGCTCTCACCGTCCAGTTTGTGACGGGCTCCTTCATCGAGAAGTACGATCCTACCATCGAGGACTTCTATCGCAAGGAGATCGAGGTGGATTCCTCGCCGTCGGTACTGGAGATCCTGGACACGGCCGGCACCGAGCAGTTCGCCTCCATGCGGGACTTGTATATCAAGAACGGGCAGGGCTTCATCCTGGTCTACAGCCTGGTGAACCAGCAGAGCTTTCAGGACATCAAGCCCATGAGGGATCAGATCATTCGGGTCAAGAGGTACGAGAAGGTGCCCATGATCCTGGTGGGCAACAAGGTGGACCTGGAAGGCGAGCGGGAGGTCTCGTTCGGGGAAGGCAAAGCTCTGGCGGAAGAGTGGAACTGCCCCTTTATGGAAACTTCAGCCAAAAACAAAGCCTCGGTGGATGAGCTCTTTGCCGAGATCGTCCGGCAAATGAACTACGCTTCCCAACCCAACGGGGACGATCAGTGCTGCTCTTCCTGTGTTATCCTCTGAGGGGGGGAGGGGGTGGCGGAGAAGAGCACAGCGGCGTTGCTTTATGTGGTGTTTTTTTATTATTATTTTCTTTCCTTTTCTTTACATTTTGAAATAAAAAGGTTTACAGCAACAGCACCACACGAAAAGGTGGCGGCAGCTGGAGCAGCAGTGTTGTCATCCTGTGAAACTCCCAAGCCTTTGAAACAAATTTTGCATTACACCCGGATCCCTTCCAGGTTATAGTTTATATACTCATGCTGCTGCGGGTGGTTGTCGGTGTCATGAGTACGCATTGTCTCTCGTTAACATCTGATTCCTCCCAAGGAAAAGAAAAACTACAAAAAAAAAAAATATCTTTGGAAATGTGGCGCTTTCCGCATGTACATGCCAGCGGTTTGATTGTTGCTTATTTCTTGTACTTGCCTCAGTTGGGAGGATTGTATTGGCCATTGATAACCAGTAGGAAAAGTTCCTGTGTTGTTTGCAGCAGGGGCAGAGGGAGAGAGTTAAGAATTGCTTTATAACTGGAAGGTTAAACACACAGAGACACACCTATAAGAAACGAAGGGAAGCATCAAAGGAAGGAAGTACATGTGGAGGAAGTTCAATTCTTTCACACTTGTCAGTCTGAAATTAACTAGTGACTAGGCAGTTTTTGATTTTGAGGATTTCTATGCAAAGTTGGAATATTTGTTACCATGCTTATCTCCGTCTGAAGAAGTATTGCACAAGTACTGCCTGGGACTTTAATAATACTGATGCCAATACAGCGCAAGAGGTGCCACAGAAATATCTGCTGATTACTTGTGAAATCTATTTTGTTTACTTGTTGTATTGAAAGGGAAGGAATGAAGAGCATTTATTTGTGTTGGGTTTTTTTTAAAAAAAAATCAGCTATGAAAACACTAACAGACTTGCACAGTTTTTAAGTTGTATGTACTTGTGGAATGGCTGGGGACAGACAGGGCAGGCAAAGTAATAACATGCCTTATTCAATTTGAGGAGGGAGGGTTGGCAATAACCAACTAGATCTGTAAAGTACAAAGAGTTTCTAAAATGTGGCACAGGGTGAACAGCGCCCCTGTGTGTGTAGAGTGCCTTCAAAGCAGCTGTTGCAGCCCGTGCCAACCTGTGGAAGTTCCAAAATCCCATTTATTTACTCCCTTCCCCCCCAAAACCTCTAGTTAACCGTTTCCTTTCAGTAATTATTTCAGTGAACAAGAGAGAACAAAAGGGCCTATTATTAATGGAATTATTTTCCTCTTTTTTTTAATCCATTTGAGACTTTTCACTTTAGTTGCCATGGATTTCAGGGTTTTTTTTATTATTCAGGTTCACAGGTATTAGTGTGCTTTTGTATGAGAGAGCATTTGTGTGTTCACCTTTTTTTCCTGTTTTCCTCCAAAATGATGTATTTTCAACCAGCAATGAAAGAAATTGTTAATGTATCTGAAAAACAAAATCTCTAATTGTAATTTTAAATCCCAGACAGACGTTTATTCATTTCAATATCTTTTAATACAGTTGCCAATTTTTAAAAAAAGAACAGTTTTATGGGTTTTTATATATTGTGGAAATCTGTAGGTTATAAGTTATTGTGGACAGATAATTGTCTAAAGCAATAACAATTGAGGCAAAGTATTTTTACTATTAAGGTCTGGTATCTGATATTGGAACTGAGTCCTAACTTGTGCTGGATTCTGCTAAATCATGCAATATATATAGATATTCATATTTCAAATGCTTTACAGAATTCAAAGTTTAATTTATTCATAGAATTATAACATTAAAAAGAGTCATTAAGGCCAACAGGCTGTTTAATGCTGGAACCCAAATTAAATCGACCCAAATAGATTGCTATTCCTCCTCTACTTGAAGATATCTAGTGGATGGGCTCTCTAAAAATCAGTTTCTCCATTGAACTGTTTACAACTGGGAATTTTTCTTAATATTCAAATGAATTCCTTTAGGACTATTATTCCATGTCCTACACTCTGAAATGATGGGGAACGAGTCTTCAGTGTGATGCTCTGTGGGTCTTTTAAAAATGCTCTTATATTCCCCCTCTTCTTTGGTCAAGATTAAACTACTGAGTCTCTCCTAAGGAGAGTCTTCCTTGCACCTCTTCCAATTTCTCATTCTTACAATACACTGTTTAGTAAATAACGTAATAGTCAAGGTGGCAATCTTACCAATGCAGATTGCAATGGAGCTATTGCTATTATTCCTGCTAATATAATCTCGTTTTGGGGTAACAGTTTCAAGAATTACTAGATATAAGCACTAGTGATTTCTGTGGTACTTTATAGAACTGCTGCCATAAGGTTATGTTATGAATGCTTGTTTTCTTCCCCATAGAAAATTTTAAAAAAGTACCTTGAGCGTGAAAAAAAATCCAAAATTGTTGGGAGACAGTATTAACATCAAATAACCTTCTGTCTTCTCATCCTATTTTTTGTAATATCTCACCTGATCAAATCAATTGTGGAGAACCTAAAAGTTCATACATATTTGGGATTTTTGAGTTGTTCTAATAAGTATCTGTGGAATGCTACATCTAAGTAAAATATTTAGAATTATTGCTCATTGAAGATCACATATTTCCTGATGTTTCCATTATCATACTTTTTAAGCTTAAGGATAGGATACTTGTTGTTTTTTTTTACCCAAGGGGTGCAGAGTTTTCTGGTCGGTCAACTCAGTTTTGAAATATTAATAATATACTTCATGAAAAGAGACTGAAAGCTATTTTCGTACATATCTCATCCTCTGGTTTCAGTACAGATGTTTGACAGTAGAGATTTCTTTCAGAGCACTTGAAACCCCCCTGTGGCTTACTACTTTCAGAAACTTATACCAAACCAAAAAAATTGGTAGCTATTCTCCCAAGTAGGGCTATGAAAGGGAACTGTTGATGAACAAGTATTATATGTTTTATTAATATAATAGACCTCAATGGGGGTTAGATCAAAAAAATAACAATGATTTGAAAGTTAGTTTGGCTTTCAATGAGTTTAAGAAACGGAGTTACTTAAATATCAAATTGGTGAATTCTCATGATCCTACTTAGTAAACTTTCTATTAAAACAATTATAGTATTCTTTAAAACCACAAACCTTAAATATATTCAGTCCGAGTCTCATTTTTATTTACTCAGGAGTGATTTCATACAATTAAGCAGAATTTCCTTAAATAAATATTCTTAGAATTTTAGTCTTAATCTGAGGTCTTTGAACATTTGAGATGAGAGCAGAATTTCTGGAGTAGGCAGTTTGACCAATTCTCTTATCATTGGTCCTGCTGCCTAGCATTGATTGAGTTGAAGCCTAAACTTTAGGGTGTACCTCTTCCTATTCTTGCATCATATAAAATGTAATTAGCATATATCTGCTGTATACTCCATTTGTTTTACCATATAAGTGATTGTAATATACAGAGAATTAAAATTCAAAAGGTTAATGTTATGCTTAGAGAAAAAGAGGGGAAAAAACACTACTAAAGCTACATTTAGCAATAATTGAATGGTAATGTAGTTTTCCACAGTCAGATAAATCTAGGTCTGATGAGAATGTTAATGTCTTTGGCCACATTGTGTCTTGAGAACTGGAGAATTATAACTTCTGATAACAGAAAGCACAGCCTTGAGGATACAGTAATAAAAACAAAACAGCAAGATAGATATGATAAGGATTTATTGTATCCTCAAGCATATTCGACTGCATATGTCTACAGCTTGATTTCAACTATCTTTAAAAAGTGTGTTTTTAAAGTTCTTGTTAATGTATATGTTTTCTGATTGTTAAACAGAGTTAGAAATCTATTTCAAATAATAGAAAAGGTGGACCAAACAAAAAACAATAGATGAATGAATGATGCAGGGATATAACAAATGACTAAAAGTACAACATATAGTAAGAATGTTTATTTGCTTGCAGGAAATCTTAAACACAATCCCCAGCATTTAGACTTTGGTCTAAATTCAAATTATACCAGACATTACAGATTGGGATCATCAGCATAAGGGCCACTGGTACTAAGATATCCATAAGACTTCTAAGTGGCTACACATCTACACAGTATAACTTCTATCATCTCATTAAGGAATATAATGATATATCCATCATCTCATTATGGAATATTCTTGATGCCTCAGCTAATGTAACATAATGCATAGGGCAAATATTTCTGGTCCTTGTTGGTAGTAATAGAGTAACATTTATTTGAAAGTTGCATACTTTCTAATTAGATTGATTCTAATTAGAATATTTGGTTTTGATTAGAATTGCAAATCATCAAAATCCAGAGATAGCATAAGACAAAACTAGTGCCACATCAAAAGACCCTGGGCCTATAACAGGCCATTTTATATTTTAAAGTTTTTAGATATAGAGTGAAATTTTACCATTGATTCTTTTCAGCATACGGTCTTTGCAGTATGCACAAAATAGCCAAATAGCATTGCATCTTGTACATGGTTAGAAAGGATTGCAGAAACAAATCCACTGTTGAATTTGAGCAAAATTAGATGAAATTTATACTGTTAGCCAAAACCTATGGAGTGGAATATAACCCAATCCTCAGTTTGCTCCTTTCCACCAAATTTGTAATATTTTCTTACAAAGTGTTATAAAACATTTTGCATATGTACTTGTTCCTTTTAGAGTTAATTAAGGCCATGCTGTTGATAAAATGATTGTAGGATCTTTGCGGAGTAAAAATAGGAGGAAAATGTATCTGCTACTAATGGTCATAGTAGCCTAGATACTTTAATATAGAGAGATGACGGTTGACTGCTACATCTGCTAGTGAGAAATTGCCAAAAAAGATGTCTCTTGTGGAAATTGTAGCCTTCTGCTTAAACTATACTGTCAGAAGTATTTTCCCTGAATATCAAAAAAAAGTAAATATTGCCAAAGATGTAGGATTTTAGTTATGAGTTGTATACTATTGCCAGAACTATGTCTGTTCACTATTCTGGCAAATATAGGTTCTTTGTCCTATTTCCTATTTAAGTAACAATTCATGTCTTGTTGATATCATTGTTGGATGTGATGTCAGAGATGGAAGAGCTCACTAAAGTAATATCTTTATATACTGAATCTTTTTTGAGATGATAATCCAAAGATATTGGTGTGTTTATTTTAGAATGTCTTAGAATAAGATATGGTAAAAGAGAAGTTTGGTTGCATAGGATAGGACAGCCTTGGAAGGGATCTTTCTGTATGAAAAGCTGCAGATGCATTTAGTTATTTTTCAAGTTAGCAATACAAAATTGGTTTTTAGAAAACTAGTAAGCAAAATGTTCACTATCTTCAAGTGCCTACTGCTATTTACTTGTTTCTGTAACCTATAATTTCTACATCAAATTGCACTTAAGTCAATGAACAGAGTAAAGAAGTTTATGGAGAGATATTGTGAAGAAAGCCTAAATCAATAAAATAGTTTTCAGAGTTCTCCAAGACAAGTTTTAAAATCCTAAAAGCCAACTGCAGAGTATGGAATGTGTCAAAATTACACAATTTAAACTGAAGTGAGCAGTTAGTGCATAGCTTTCAGGAGAGGTGATTTAGGGTTATCTAGCAAACTTGCAAATGTTTTCATTTTTGAGGAAAAGTTAATTGTATATAGCATGTTGTAGCATGATGCTCAAAAGTAAAGTTCAATGAGACTCAGCTTTACTAAGTATGCCAACTTCAAGGAACTCAGTATTAGAATTCTTACTTTTAGTATATGGAAAAGTTATATTTCATATAATTAAGCACTCTATATCAGTGATGGCAAACCTATGGCACGGGTGCTGTCTGTGGGCATGCGTGCTGTCGCCCCAGTCCTAGGCCTTCAGCTGGGTTTTATAAAACCTTTTCACTTTTGTACCCCCCAAAAAAAGGTTCAATCAATCAGTCAATTTCAACTTCTTGTGTGGAAAAAAAAAGATCTTGAAAAGTTGGAATTGATTGATTGAACTTTTTAGACCCACCAAGTCTGCTGTTACCACCACAGTCACGCCCACCCAATGGGCCACACCCCCCAATGGGCCACACCCACCTGGCACCCGACGATGCATAAGTGGGTTTTGGGTTGCAGTTTGGGCACTCGGTCTCTAAAAGGTTCACCATCACTGCTCTATATAATAGCCAAATCTGTGTAAGATTTTACACACAAAATGATCATCTCACAGACCTGATCATTTTAAAGTATATGAAAAGGGCTGTAGTCAGTGGTTCCGGTGCCTTAGAGGAAATAATTATTTTGGAAGAAAATATTTGTAGCTCAGGGTTGAACTGTGTAGGGTCCTTGGTGCTTCTGAGCTTGGTTGTTTTCTTGCAGATGTTTCATTACCAAACCAGGTAACATCAACAGTGGTAGAAGAGAGGGTTTGTGGATGATGAAAATCTGTAGAGCTACAAGTATCCTTATATTCATGTTTTCTTTTCAAATTGTGTTTTGACATGGGGAAAAAAAATAAAAAAAGCACTAGACAGGAATCTCATATCAATGACTAATTTCAGGAATATTTTTTTCTGCCAAAGGATAGCTTAGACATGC